GACGTTTCAAGAACATTTTTCACAACTCTACAAGACATGCATGTTGGAATTGTACGCTTATTTTTTATGTTCTTTTTGCTGTTCTGTGGGAAAGAAACAGCCTTCTCTCGTCCTGTTAAGCTTTTCGTAAGGTGCCCCTGACCCCTATAACTGCAAAGCCGCATAAACGTTTTAAGAATGCTACCTTCGCTGACTTTTGCGTGAATATTTAAGAGGCATTTGACCAAAAGCACTTTATTCTCGTCAGATCTTGAAGATCATATTATAGAGTGTTTGAAGTGTAGAAGTCCCTTTGTTTTAACCAACACCTCGCCGCCAAGGCGCGAGGTTCAGCCGAGGTATATTGCTCACCTCCGCTCCAGATGTGAGTGGTCTTTTTAACGTTCCGACCGCTTTAACACATACGAAAAAGCCCCAGAAATTAATTTAATAGGAGACTTTGTGAGACCCAGCTCTGATATGCACATGTTGACTAAGGGTCCCTGGTCCTGCTGGAGACGGAAGCCCCGATGTCTGGCCTGTAGTTAGTTGTTCTACTGATTTAAGCTGTTGTGGTGGTTTGCAATACGTTCTGAATGAACCTCTCATGGAGCTGAGCCCTTTTTGAGAAGCTGCCAATTGTGCAGCTACTCGGGAATTTTCCAACATGTTATGGAACCCGAAGGTTCATTACCGTGTTCACAAGATCCCTCCACTGGTCCATATCCTGAGCCAGATCAATCCAATCCATAACATCCCAACCGATCTCTCTGAGATCCATTTTAATATTGTCCACCCACCTACGCCTTGCTCTTGATGGGTGTAGGTGTGCCAATGAAATCTGCCTACACAGAAAATATGAGTTCTGAATGATACAGCATGCCTAGTAGATGATTTCCGAATAGACGCCCCTGGACGTCTTGTTCCATTACCATAGTCTCGCTATGTAGCCACACCTCCGTTTGTGCTTTACAGCAAAAGAAAGGCACAGATAGCCATTGCTTCTCCTCCCAACGCACTTTCGTATTCGACCTATTACATCGAACCCTTATCGATTCGTGGTCGGAATTGATATTTGCTTCATTATCTCCTAGTCGGTAATGAATAATTACTAGTACATATAATTAAGTTTCACGAGATTTCACGGAGGGTGTTTCTCAACAGTCTGATAACCTGCTTGAGTAAAAACAGACTTCCTCATGTAAAATTAGAGGTTTTCACGGCAGTGACTATGAAGAATGCCGTCTTCTGGGATGTGGTGCCCTGTAGATCTTGTGTGAACTGATATTTCGGAGGAACGTATCGCCTCAGACTGAGCTCAGTCTGTAGCTACGTGCTAACGCTGGTTACTCGCTCGCGGATTTTTCTACCCTGAAGATGAAGGAGATATGTTCCTCCGAAATATCGGTTCACACAAGATCTACAGGGCACCACATCCCAGAAGACGGCATTCTTCAGACTTACTCATATCCACAAAGATATTCGAAAATGGAACGGGGTAACAAGCTCCCCCATTCCGGTCGATGATGATGATGATGATGACGATGACGATGACGATGTTGCCGCCTATGAGGATGACGACGAAGACCATACTTTCACGGTACAGCTCTACTTCCGAAACAAATTAGGCTAGTCACACTGCTAGCGTGTCCACTACAAGAACACTCCATTGATCCTGCAGTTTGATGGCGCTGTTCTGTCCTCCGCGGGTTAGAGTTCGAACTTCTTTCAGCTTTTTTTTTTTGAGCGTCTCCTTATCTGCAAATCCTTCTGTAACAAATTACGGGTTTCGGAGTCTGTCATTGCCCGTTCTACTCAATAGATTATCCATTTTTCTTTGCTGTCACATCTTCTTTATCTATTGGTTAAATATTTAGCTCCTTCGACTTATTCTTCTCTTCAATCACCTAATTTATTACAACACCTGAAATATAAATTTAATTTCTAACACATTAATTTTAATACCATTTTTGTTCTTTACCCAAATCTCGCCTCAACATTAAAGTGTGGAAATACTCTTCAGTTTGCAAAAATTCCTACATTTTCTCTTTCGAGATAATGTTAATGAAAAACACGCATATTGAAAAGGCTAAAGTAAAAAAAAACAACTTTTTTTATGATGCTTCAGAACAAAAAGTAGGTGATTCGTTATTAAGGCAGTTGCATTTTACGTATTAGGATAGTGGTTGCATTACTAATGGTGTCTGTTTTAGAGAACGTAATGGTATGCCATAAAGGGATTTATAAAAGGGCCCTGTGCCAGAAGAACGAAGGATCTGTTGACGCTAAACAGAGACCAGTTAAGATCGATATAGGGCTATTTACAGGACATTGTCACCTAAAATGACACCTTTTGAAACTGAGACTGACAGATGAACCCACTTGTGAAAGGTGCCTGGAAGAAAATGACTGTCACACATATCCTGTGTAATTGTGAGGACATAGCTTATTTAAGATATCGTCACCTGGGCCAGATCTTTATGGAACCAAGTGACTACCATGACGCCCCCATAAATAGGTTCCTGCATTTTATCCGAAGTGTAGGATTAGCAAAGAGTTAATCAAAGGGGAAGCACAATAGGTCAGTGTTGGTGGTGGTGCAAGGGCCAAATTACTATGGCCCACTCTTACACATACATATATACACACACACGTACATACATATACGTATACATGCATACAGACATACATACATACAGAGAGATGTAATAGTATGCCGTAGGCCCCAATAAGTCAAACTAAAATTTCTGCTCTCATATGAATATAGCGAAAAGAAATATAGGCTGAGTCCATGCGCACGAACACCACGATATGGAAACAGGCAATTATTATTAGCCACCTATTTGCCAAATTAGGAAGTATAATTCAATTGTCTTATCTGAAGCTATTTACTGTTGAAATGAAGAAAACATTTCGCGGGCTATTGATCGATAAGAGAGGCTATGAGCAAGATTGATGGATCTGTCTTCTATTTGCATTCGCCTTCGTCCTGTTGACACCGAGTGCTTGTGGGGTTCCCTGTAAAACCGCTCCCCAAATCCCACCGCAGGCTGAACCTCTAAGCAGATTATTCTAAAGTGTTAGCTGCAAAATTTAGATGGAACAGAAAACTAGAAAACAATGGAGCAATTTTCTTGCCAACCTTGAGAGAACAAAACAAAGTTCCATGTATTACAGAGAGTTGGGAGTGTGCTGAAGGAAGTCGATCACACGCTCTGCCACCAGACTTCCCCTTGTTTTCACGTGCATGGAATTCCCTGAGGAGCAGGGAGCCGTAATGTTCTTCATTCTTGGTTCTCTTCTTATGCTCCTAAACGCTCCACACCATCAATTAATTTCAATCAGTGAGGAATGAATAAGAAGCAATGTAGAGGAAAGGGTTAAATTGCTCCTGTAAACTACGTACAATTTCGATTGACCTGAAGGCAGACGGCCAAGTTTTTCGAAACGAACAATAGGAAAAAATGTGACGAACAGCATTTTCATGATAATTTCCAAAGGAAAAACAAGAATTTCAATGGACGAACATTTGCAATAACAATACAAAACTTGAATAATATAATATACAATTTTCGGGTAGAATACAATTAGTATCTTCAGGATATAAATGGAACATTTAAAAGAATATTTCATTACAAGTTTTTAATTAAGCCAGATCAATAACATCTGTACTGACGTTGGTGTGATGAACAAGGAATTCGAAATAGAGCGCTATAACCAACGGTCATTTCTGCTGAAAGAGATTTTTGAAGACCTATGTGTTAAAGTATACGATTCATTGATTAAAAATATTAGTCTGTTTTTATCTGTTGCTTATTCTGTTGCAGGTTAGAAATTATAAATTATATTGTAGATTTATGTATGCAATAATACCATTTATGGCGACTGCGTTAATTTATATTTTTCTCCCTAATAAATCACAAATTTTGGATTAAAAATAACGTGCAAAGAAAGTAAGAAGATGCACAGATGAGTTTGTTGTTACAGAGTGCCACGGTAGCTGAAAGAAAAAGTTTTCACAGTAAACCACCGTGATAGTTTTCAGTCCGGGTTCCACGTTAATAATACATAACAAGAGTAAAATTAATTATGTTCCAGTGTGGCATAGCGAATGAGTATCTGCATAACTCCTAGCTCTCAAATCGACTCGTTTCGCACAGTTTATAGAAGTTAACATTGTCAAGAACTGCAGGACTACAAACATGCTATAAAATTATAAATATTAATTAATTCACTATTTGATTTGTTATGTAACGTTGGTGCTAGTATAGACTATGTAGCATCTGACTTATTCAATCATTTGTGATTTTAATAATATTTTAAATATAATTATGACTTTTTAAGATAGTACTACATTGAAGAACCCACTGCAGTGTAAAAAGAGGAGTATATTTTAGAAAAATAATCCTAAAAGATCTTTAGAATTGAGTAATTTACGTCCCATGAATGAAGGACCTCCTTGTTACTGATCGAAATTAATTAATCGAGTGCAATGTATACATTGTCTTCTATGTTACCATGGTCATATATTAATTTTCCATTGCTATGTGGACTGTGGACAAAGTCACCCCTTATTATCAATTTATATTACAATAATTTTATAGAAGATATCGTACTTGTAAGAGCCGAGGTTTTCTCGGCGGTGACTGTGAAGAATGCCGTCTTCTGGGATGTGGCGCCGTGTAGATATTGTACAAACCGACGTTTCGGCGGGACGTCGGTTTGTGCAATATCTACACGGCGCCACATCCCACAAGACGGTGTTCTTCAAGATATCTTGCCTGACGCTGTGATGGTGTATGATGTTTACTGTGGCCGCAGTGAGTTCCCGGTGTGCAGTTGCTATTGGAATATACACACACACACACACACACACCAAACTGGACAATTTTCAACGTGTATCCTGCTAATGCTGCTTAAATAACTCGCCCAATGCGCAGTTAAGATTATGCATAAATATACAGAATTAATGTTTTATGCAGTCAACATTATTGTAGTTCTACAATTAATTGTATTAATTATTATTATTATAATATACAGAAGGCAAGAAAGTCGACTTTATAGTCAACAGTTTGAAAATTGTGATAAATGAAACTTGTAAGTGACCACTCAATGAACAATTGGGTTTTATAAATAATCAGTATGTGAAGTATTGTTAAGGGAACTGTATCAGTAACTTTGTCAGTTTCGTCTTTTGCCACGTCCTCTTAAGTACACGTAATTGTAAATTTCAGGTTGCTGCTACTTGAGTGTCGCTTCGAGAATCTGTTACAATTTTATTAATACATAGTTACTGTATAATTATTATGCTTTTTACGAACTATCCTGATATTTATTTCCCGAAAGGCATATTCTTATTTGTCGAGTATAACTTATGCTCTCTGCCTTTTTATAACCGAGAGTCTTATCCCATTTTCTTATTTTGTAATCCGTGGACAGTTTGTGACGCTTGATTCCTTTCAGGTTGTCAACAACGAAAATTCCAACGATAAATTACAATTGAATTATGACGATGGGAGTACAAGGAAGAGTTTTTGGGAATGTGAGCACGTGATAGTGACGTGGGCCATGGTTCGCGGCGCCAGACGGCATCAGCGCGCACGACCTCCCGATGTACTCTTCCAAAAAACAACGATTTCATTTAAACTGTAGTGATTAAAAACTTCTTCGTTGAACTACTGCGTGTTGTATAAATCAGTGTGTCTATATGTACAGAAACGTGTATTTCGTGCTCAGTCTCTTTGCCGTCGTATTCGATGTGAATGCCTGAATTTTACTTTTCAGTGGAAGTTATCGTGGAGCGGTGTTCAAATTGTTCTGTGTACAGGTTCATCTTTGTGTGTAAAAATAAGTAAGACCGTTATTTCCAGTTCGATAACATTGCCGTTAACAAAATGGATTCCGTTAAAAGCGTTCCACCTAATTCCACCTCTCCATCATCGGCGTCACCAACACTGGGACAACAGAACTACGTCCAAAGCATCGATTTAATCATCAACGACTACATGGAGAGACTGGGCACGAGACTGAACATCCTGGAGACAGAGCTGAAGTACGCATGGAGAGCGCTGGATCTCCTATCGCAAGAGTATATCAAGATGTGGGAGCGACTAGAAAAGCTGGAGATACTGCTTTACGAACAGCAGAGTGTCATCGCTCAGCTTCTAGAATTCTATACAGTCATGGGTTCAACAGAGGGTACGTCTGAGGATCGTGCAGAAGTCTCAGCTCCTGAAGGTAGCAGGTCAGCAACCGAGACGACCGAAGATCAACTGCAGCGAACTATGAAAGATTTGATGGAAGATGCAGCAGCAGCTAGCGTGGCTGGACGTGACGTTGTGGGGGACATATCGAATACTGATATTACTGGATCGTCTTCGAGTGCCGCTGCAATAATATCAGAACTTCAGTTGGAGATGGGAATGGGAGAAATGATACACATGCCAGATGAAGCTTTCTATCGAAGTCTCAACAACGCGTATCGTGACGATCTTGGTGGATCTGATACAGCAGTAATCCCCATTGTCACTTCATCACAGTTAGGTATGATATGGGAAGAGGCTGAAGATGTTGAAGAGAACACAAACAAGGAGGAGGCTATAACAGAGTTGGAGAGAGTGGAACAAAACGATGAAACACAGGAAGTATTCAGTGCATTAGACTACAAGGACTATAGAGGTAACTCGCCGTGTGTTAACGAGCAGGATCTTGCTCAACTGACAAGATTGAGTGTAATAGATCAGGTGGCGTTGGAAAAGCTTCAGGAACTAGATAGACTTACAACAAAGCTTCAGAAAGACTCGCAGAACCTCAAAGAACTTCAAGACCGTCTTCTAGAATCTCCGAAGCACCAGTACCAGAAAGAGACCAGAGAAAACGAATCTACGACTGTGAGATCCCTAACAGATGATACAAGTGTAATAGACGAGCAGTTACGTCAGATCTATGTAGAATCAGAATTAGAAAATTGGAGCTTCTCTAGTTCGGCGCGCGGGATCTCGGATTTAATACTTCTGGCAGGTACAACGACATTACCAAGCGGCCTCAGCAGCAGTAGCAAGTCACGGCCTAGTTCTCGTCTGTCTACAGACAGTGGAGGTGCCACCACAGACTCAGAAGTAGCTTCTGCTTTATCTGGCTTTCGATCGGCTGTATCACCAACTACATCTCCGAGACATCGCGCCCTTCTTGAGTCGTCTAATTCTGTAGATACTTCTGGAATGTTATCATCACAAGCGTCTGGGAGACTCAGTTATAATTCCTCAGCCTTACTACAGTCTGATGTAACATCCTCATCGTGCAGCATGGCGTCACCCAAAACACTTGCCGAACGTTATGACTTCAGCCCCTATGCTCCAGAATACACTAGCTCGCAAGAATATGAGAACATGGTGGCTCCTTCATATTCTTCTGTGCCTCATACATCTCCCGGTACGTTTGCTGTGGCATCTAGTAAGAACTTAAATTCCCCACCAACATTGTCGGGATCAAGCATCCGTACACGACAAGACGGTTATATAGGTGGAGGGGGAAATTTAGATCTTGATTTATCAGAGATTCGAGCTACACCTTCTCCTTCCCCTACTAGCCCACCACCACCGGCTCCTCGAGATAGCAGAGAAGCCTTCTTGATGCCCACTGCTGATATTGGGGTCGGTTTAAGCGTCACCAAAAGTCCTTCAGCATTGCTGGGTGCCTCGGCTATTAGTACTACGTCAATTACTTCTCCGTCGACTGATCAGCAAGGACGTTTAAGTCCTCGCACCCCACACTCCCCTAAATCACCAAGACTGTCTCCAAAGAATATAGTTAAATCTACATCCGTTAATATTGGACCGGCTAAATCCGATTCTGGTCTTTCTTCTATGAGCGGTTGGTCTAGTGTTGAGAAATCTCCAGTCTCCCCTAAGAGTGTTGTTAATAGTACCAATAAGATATCAACGTCCTCGTCGTGTCCGTCAGATTCTCTCATCGGACGTGGATATCAGCAGATACTCCCGCCATCACCTGTTGGCCCCCAAATGCACGTATCTTCCTCATCATTCATATCTCCACAAGATAACCGCATGTACAATGCAACTGCTGCCTCCGAATCCTTCCCATACAGCGCCCCTCATTCTCCTGTACCTTCTCTTCCTCCAGCCCTAGCTAACACTCTTCTAACGGGTGGACATCATCCTTCTGCTTTCACAAGTGTTAAATCTCCAACAAGTTTAGGAAGCAGCACGCCTTCCATAACAGGTGAGAGCTCAGGTGGAAATCTCATCCCGTCACCTGCACCAAGCTCCGAATTCAGTACGAGTACAAGGGGGAGACCTCATCGTGTTCCAAAGTCCCCTAGTGCTAGCACAATTACTGCCGTCGAAACTACTTCCGTAGCGACATACGGCGACTATCTCTACCGCAGTGAACAACCAGCAATTTATTCAGTAGCTGGAAGTAACAGACAACAATCTTTCACGTCAGTGTACACAGGTGGCACGTCAAGTTACGTTCCAAAGACGTCCGGGTCCGGCTATCCAGATTTGGTAGAGCCGTGCAGCAACAACGAACATCACCAAGCTCAGTCCTACCGCTACCAGGTTGAGTCCGAAAGCATTACTTCCCGAAGTCATTCTCTTGGTAGCTATCCTGCAGCTAGTGCCTCTACAACTTCTCACTCAAACAGGAAGAGCATTTCTAGAGGGTATTCTACTGGTTCTGCTCCCCCCTCTGCCAGTGGAGTTGCTAATCTAGAAAGCTACAAAAATGTCATGTACCGTACTATGTTCCCTACGGGCAACATCACAGACGCTCTTTCTTACTACCCTACGAGCACGCGCTACGATTCGACACCGTCCGGAAATCAACCACGGCCCGACTACAGTCACAGTTCTGGCTGGTTGAATAGCTCTCAGGCTCATATTGACACACCAACTGGGAACCAAATGAAACATGATCACACATCTGTGTCCCTTAGATCTGTAGACAGTGCTCCTGCATCCACTGCGGAGTGCGGGTACATGGCACCTCAGTACGTGGATCCAAGACGTTACCAACCACATCCACCACAACAGCACTATGCTCAGCAACCTGGAATGGAAAGAGTTGGTGAGCAAGACGAAAGTTATCCTCGAGAATATTCTTGGAGCCAGCATCCTGATATTCAGTACCTGAAACATGATATGCGGAAACGAAATGCTCCAGATCATCACCACCAGCAGCAGTTGCACGATGGGCAATACTATGATCCAAGTGGTGTCATAGTATCCCAGTCCGGATACATATCTATTTCTGCTGACATAAAGGACAGCAAATATCCTCAGGACGAGAAGGTGAGCAAAAGGGGCAAATTGAAATCGGCAATGAGTTCCGTGAGTAGTTGGTTGCCTGGATTGCACCTCAGTAAACGGCATCGCTCCCATTCCTTACCAGCCGGTGTTCGACGTGAAGACCTTGTGCTGTCAAAAGAACACGGAAGGGGATATATGACGTCCCGAGGCAAGAACCAACAACGTTCAACAGCTACATTGCCTCGCAAGAAAAAGAAGAATCCACTGGCGTCTACAGTGTCTGGAATCCTCCAGAAGGCCAAACGTCGCAGCCATCACTCCCAGTCACTGTCGGATCCAGAACAGTCAGAAACTGAATGGAGCGGCCGACAAAGTGGGTTTTCGGAAGACAGCGAGGATAGTGTATTCTCTGATGTTCCATCTGACTCGAATGTATTTGCCAAAGTAACTCACAGTATTCCGAGACAACACAGCTTACAACAGCAGCAGGTTCTGTCAAACACAAGGATGGGACCTAGAAGAGATTCAGATATGGACCAAGTAAACGAAATTCCATACGAAGCAGACCCTGCAGAAGAAAACCCTCTGGAAGCTGATCCTTCCTCTCTGTTCCCCACAGTAGGCGAAGTGAAGAGAGCAGCAACTCAAGCAGTGGCGACAAGTGAAGAATCAGCAACAAGTGAAAAACTTCAATTTCCTCCAGGTGCGCTGGGAGGGGCATCTAGAGAATTTGCCGTGTCTCGTGCCCTAGGCAAATACCGTCAACGCCAATCTTCTACCATGCCTATGGATGAACAGATGAGTCAGGAAGATATTTGTGCTACTAAATCTAACGATCAAGTTCCAATTATCGCTACAATGGATGAAAATATTCAAGAAGACATATACGATGAGCCTTCTGTAGAAGATATCGATGAGCCGCAAAGCAGCAGTACTCCGCAACACCCCTCTCGGGTAGAAGAACTTCCCAATATTGATGCAAGCCCGTCTGTATCCAGTATGCGCAGTTATGCTAGTGGTAGGCATCACGCAACACGCCATCAACAGAGTCTCGAAATACCTTGGAGCGGGTCTAGAGGTGAAGGCGATGAGGACAGCCGGAGCACTCACTCTTGGAGGAGCACGTCCCGAGTGTCCTCCAGAAGGCAAAGTACTGAAGACAGCATTGACAGTGAAGATGAATGGTATTGCTATGAGCTACGCAAGTTGGAGGAATTGGAGAGACAACAGGACACAGAACCTATGCAAGGAGACAAAACTGAATGTTTCGAACCGGATGAAGATGTGAAGGAGCAAATGTCTTTCGTGCTCCAGGAGCTGAAGCTAAAATCTAAAGCGCGGGAGGGCGTGCTCAGTCAAGATGTCTATAACCGTCAGGTGCGAGCTAGAGCTGCGGGGTCTGCAATGCGGTGGGAAGATGTTCAAGGTGATGTTAGGGAAAAGCAAGTTGAGCTCTACCCTACCGTTGATGAAGAATCACCTCAGATGCCCGTAACAGAAGAATCAAAGAAGGTGAGTGGAATGAGACTGCGAGATGATGATGAGTCTTCATCAGGAGAAACGAGTGGTCCCGACAGTCCTCATCAGAGTATGGATGAAATGGAAGTTGATGAGGAGGAAGAAGCTGCAATTGAGGCCGAATTGGCGAAATCCATGAGGAGTTCCAGTGGTTCTACTTTTCGTCATGGAGAGAAACCGCTTCAAGGTTCAGACTCTCTGAGCAGGGAGGGGTCAGTAAGTGTTCCTCCAAGTGAGGTATCGGTGAGTATCCCAGTAAGCGACGGCTGGGATTCTGAAGAAACTGCTACGGTACGAGAAGGTTCCGTTAGTGTTCCGGCCAGTGATGTTTGGGAAGGGGAAGCAGAAGGCGAAGAAGTTGGAAGCGACCGCCGAGAAGGCACCGAGAGCTCTACGCCTTCCGTCCCAAAGTTTAAAATTGACACCGACAGCAGCGTTACGATCAAAGAAGACGTCACGACCAAGGACAGCGGGCCAATGGGCAGCAAATGGAAGCTGCTAAAAGCTCTGAAAGAAAGAAAAGCCGAAGAAAAGATTCAAGAAGCTGCAACAGCCACTGCAGCTGCGGAAGCAAAAGCGAATGCGACAACGGTAGGTATAAAGTCTGTGGGCTGAACAGAATTTTATGAACTCACAACCTATTTTGTTTCGTATATTTACATGGTTTCTATATGTCGCTTCTATCAGATGGGATATAATTTTAATAGTACCAATTTACAGCTGTATAACGTTAACAACATACCGTTGAATGAGGAGCTTATGTACCACAAATGTTTTATCTGGGTCCATTGTATAACAGAGATTTGCTTTGATTCCCATTGTTGTATTTGCTATGAACACTATATACGTGAAACAGTATCAATGTAATTTTAACTGTTAATTTCAAGAGGCAATTTGTGCTGTAAACCGTAATTCTTAGTGAGCACGTGACACAATAAGAGCCATACCATAGACCAGCTCAGGGTAGGTAACGCTTAGTTTTTATTATACACACGACTCACATGCTTTTTTAAAAAGGTAGATTATTGATATTTGCACTTACTACAATTGCATACATTTGTCAAAATACCAAGTAGTTATATTCTATGGAAATAATTCCATTTTATTTTTAATGTACCTTTATAGAAATTATGTTTGCACAGTGCAGAAAGTATCCCCTGTGAACAACGAATATGATGAATGAAAATTTTGGCAATTAATATGGTAATTATATAATGATTGGGGCGTAATTCAGTATGAGGTTTAAAAGACTATTGGAGTAACATATGGAACTCTTCGCTGCATATTTTGAAGAGCAATGTTTCTGCTCGTCGATTATTTCATTTTCTATATAGAAATACATCGAACGGACGAACTAAAATTTCAGCTTAAATGAAACCTGATACAGATATGATAAACTATGTTGTAACGGTTAAATATATAAAATAATGTAGTTTGTTTTGCACATTGATGTGTTATAGGGAACATCTTTCGTAATGTCTTAAAACTTTGAAGAAAATAATAGCCTTACAATTTATCATGTCCTGTTTATCGTTTTCTGCACGCCATAGCGAATAGAGCATGAAATAAAACTCTATGCTTACATTGTTTGATGTGAACCGATTGTGTAATTCCTGATGTTACTAACGACTCTTAGATAACTATACCATAAAATGGGCACATATGTGTTGCGAGGTTATCTAAAGATGTTCTCATAGTATTTAGATGTGTTCCTTACCCATAGCATATTTACAATCATGACTTCAAAAGTTCATGTGTCAAACTCATATTACGATCTCAGTTTGCATATGAAATAATATTCATAAATTTGCCGTGCATAAAGTTGACTGCTTTTCTACCCCCGTAAAAATATGTTTGCACATTAAGAATTGTATTAAATTTTATATATAGACTAATGTTTCATTTAATCTGAATAAAATGAAACGCTGTCTGTCTTCTAAATATCATTATCGTTAAGGTTTTACTTTTGACCGAGTTCCGTAATTGTGTTTGTATCAGCTTCTGAGAGTATAGTGCACAGTGGCTTCTTGCGCTGGACCTGTGTAGCATGATGCGAGGTTTGCACTGCAGAAGACAAATTATTTATAGTCATTCTTAATCTGCGCAGTAGAGTCATGAAATTGGTATTAAAATAAGCTGCCTGATACGGCTACGTTTAATTACCTGTAATTCTGTCTCCAGGTCGAAAAGTGCATTCAGAATAACGACTGTGCAGGAAAAAAGGTTTTCGATAATACAGATCTAGCACATGAAAAATATGTCAAATTATAACATAATATTGGATTTCATATTTTAATAAGCAAAGTACAGTTATATAGGTTTGTTTACAACTGACGCACATTTCCTATAAACTATATCTCAAAGCCAATTCGAAATAGAGAATGTGTAGTTATTAATACCAAACATCCGTATTACTTTGAAGATGTATAGTTATCACTATGTAAATTTAACGGAAATGTTATATATAAACCCAATGAAAAATTTATGTCGATATTATACAAGCAGTACAATATAAGCAATAAACCAACGTTATCAGTATTGAATATATTAGAATTTATGTTCAATTGCTAAGCATAGAACGTAGTTTATAGGTAATTCAAGGAAACAAAATTCGCACCATACCATTGTTTATAGTGATTCACCCTACTGCATATAGGTTCTTAATAGTGAATAGTAGTACCACAAATTAGTCCTTGAAGAGAAATAATTTATAACCGGAAATAATAATAATAATGAGGAAAAATCGTGCGGGGTAACTGATATGTTACGGCATTTCAGTCTGTTGCTGTGGTGTCTAATGGTCGACAGAGAGATACATAATAATAAAAGACTAATGTTAGAAGCTATTATTTATACCAAGACGTTTAACTATTTCTTTGTTGCGATTATATAATTTGCCTTTAGTTTTGTCTCATTTTGTTCCCTATAAGTTGTCTTCATAAAGAGTGGTGGATATTCAGTTGTTATTGGTTATGTTTGTGGTTAGGTTGTTGCAGTCGGAAACAACTCATTTGTTTTTATGAAGAGAAAATTTTGAACTTTCTTACCTTTCTTTCATCTTTCAAATATATACCAGTAATAGAAATTACTTCATAAAATTCACTAAAATATTTTTTTCATAATTTTCTTAACTACTTACAGTATTTCGAGAGAAACGTTGAATTTGTAAACTAAGACCTAGTAGATACATTCTTTTTCTGCCATAGTCTACTAGTCATTTTATAGTATCTTGAACAGGAAGTACTCCAGAATGAAACGAAATATTACCTAATCTTATACAGGCTTGTTATGTTGTGGAACACTTAAATTCCAGATCAAAGAATTTCCATTCCCTTAAATTGTTTACATATCATTGTAGAGTGCGTAAGTAGATCATGTTGCTTTAGCGAAATCCAGAATATGTATTCCCAAGTAGAAGTATTAAGTATTCCTTTCTCGAGGCGTTCTAATTCGGTTAAGCCTTCTGTTTAAGTTTGCGCTGTTATAAATTTCATTCTTCTTACCTCTTTACTGCATTCCGCACATTTGTGAAGCACGGAATCTATATATCAGCGTCGTTAATATTAACCTCATATTGAAGTAATGTAATATGTATTTAGGATACTGTTCCTCTAGATATAAGTAGAGAATTTCTTCGGCCTATTATACCAATAGTCTTCCCTACACTAAGTATTTTACTTCCGATTTTTAGAATATAATTATTTACGCGAAGAACGTGGTTCCCAAGACGATTATTTGCGGGTTCTTATTATTTCCCATGGGGTTCATATCCAAAGAGGATTGATACAGACCGGTTTACAGATTCGTTGAAGTTCTTACGTTTCTGAAAAACTCTCAGGAAAATATTTGTAATTATTATTTTACAACTTAATGGCACTAAGCCTTAACGAATTCTGTCGAAGTCTCTGGTCGTATTAAAGCTCAAGTACCAGACCAATAAAATTTATATATATATATATAAATTCACATATTATATAGGCTCCAACTGTTGCCCATGTAATTAGGTCAGTTGATTCTTCTTCGGTTCGGAACCAGTTTGATTCTTCCTGTAAAAGTAATCATTTTATAACTTGATGAGTATATTAGTACAACTTATTATTTCGTAGTTTATAACATCGTGCACCTTTGAATTTTGTGGACTGCATTAGGGTAAGATAGAGAAACCTTTAATAAACAATTTCAAGTCTTCCTAATATATTCCACAAAAGAACTGTTTTATAAAACTCTGGGTTGTACACTTCATCATAATGTATTTTTAACTGATGTCTTTGTAACTTAGTGAGCTGGAGTGTGTTTCGTATGTAGTTACGCATATAAAATACACTAGACACAATTTATGTTGTGTCTTGTGTCCCATACATATCAGTATCTGTTATCTTTGTTTGTATGTATATCAATCATGTAATTGTTCTCATTGACGTAATCATTTGTAGTCACAGTATGTGGTAAGATATTGCAGCACGATTTTTTCAAAGAGCAGATGTACCGAGTAACGGGAAAGTCAGGTACTACCTAAGTTGCTGCAGATGATGAGGCCTACTACCATTTCAAGTCCATCATAAAGGGGATGGAAACTTCAAACACCCAGCGTTGATAACGGTCTAAGCAAAGCTTCAAGTTCCTGACTTTTCTGGAATCTTGTATTTTTTATTTTATAAATATGTTGCATTACTAGAATATACATTGACTATGTTATTGTTATGATGATGTTATTTTGTTATGTATTTGTTATTTTATTGATTATTGAAAACGTGTATTTGTATTTTAATATTTTAAATAGATTCTTATTAATTTATTATTTCTTTTTGTTTCTTTTTTAGAATGGAGGAGGTCCAGGGGGCGAAAGTGGAGGGCGTGCGAATGGGTAAGTATCAGTTGACATTTTATGTTGGGCTCTAGAACTTGTAATTATAAGTACAGGATGTTCAATCAAGGAGGAAACTTCGCAACACCGTTTACCGGGCCCAATATTTCTCACAGTTTGCTGCTGTAGCTGTAACTGTAACGGCGCGCGTTTATCAGCGCTAATGACTCATTCTGTTATCAGCAGCTACAGCAGCAATCTGTGAGGAATGTTGGGCCGGTTCAGCGGTGTTGCGAAGTTTCCTCCTTAACTGAACGCACTGTATATTGTACGCTTTCTAATTTACAGGGGAGAGTTAGAATATGGGCAGTATATTAATTATTTTGTAGTATTCTACATTATTAGATGACAAAACTTAAAACACTAAATATATATATATTCTTGTATTAAATTCGTAATTATTATTTATAGTGCGAATCTCATACGAAAAAATTGCAGAAATAAATTATATTTGTTCCTGGTTTCGGAGTTGGAAATATTATTCAAATATATAAAAGTCTAAGGCCGTCATTTTGTTTTTATTCTGTCGCTATGTAGAAGTCTACGTTGTTAATAGTAATGACTTGGTCTGACAGGCGACAGTAAGAGGAACCTGTGGTCCAATAGGCCTTGTAGTGTCGGACTTTGTTGAAAAAAAATCCCATTCTTCTTCGCGGGCATATTCGGCAAAATAGTGGTTTAATGTATGTATATTAGATCTGAGGTTCTCGCTGCAGTTTGATTGTTAACACCGTGTAGTTCTGTAATTCTGAGGGAGCCCAACAATTCTGAAAAAACCAGAAGCCCAGATCTGACTCTGATGGACTCTTCTTGTGGGATACGTGAAGAACATTGTGTATGGTGAAAAGATTCGGGATATCGGGCACTTACGGATAGGATCACAACGCAACGGTAACTCCAGATATGATTCAGCGGACTTGGCACGAGATCGAACATTGTCTCGATATCTGCCGAGCGACATATCGAAACATACTGAGATAAAGACAACTTGAAACATTTCTTGGCAATTTAACGCTTAAATCATATCGACATGTCTAATAGGTTTTGAGTTATATGTCTTTGATAATCATCCCGGAATTCTTTTTCCATGATCTTGTATTTGTATTTTATATACATAAATTCTGGTAAAATTTTCAAGACCCTTAGAGTAAACAATCACATTTGACCATTAATTCTGCATATACACAGATGAAATATAATTTAAGAAGTTCAAGTCATGGACCTAAATACACGTAACTTATTGATTCTACAGCACACTTATTGTAAGCGTTCGTAACCTTTCACCTTTATATCATTGGCAACATAATTAGAGAATGGATCGGTAGCGATAGGTCGCTTCGAAACGACTGAAATAACACCCTGTAGACGAGAACGGGTTGGCATGAGATCCGTGGATCGCGCTGGGTTTCTAAGTAGACACATATAAACTAAGTTTTTGGACATTTAAATGAAAAAAGACTGAAGAGAACTTATAACATAAAATGCAACCACGATAATCCGAACGAATTAAAGCACCCATATGTTCCGTCTATCGAATCTCTCGGATTACTGGATTTCGATTTAATTTTTTTTAGTAAAATTATTTGCCGGGATAGCTCAGTCGGTATAGCGACTGGTTACGGACTGGTTGGGGTCAGAATTCAAGTCCCGGGAGGGTTCAGTAATTTCTCTCCTCCACGTCGTCCCGACCGGGCCTGGAGCCAACCGAGCCTCTTATATGATGGGTTCCGGGGGTTAAGCGGCCGAGGCGTAAAGCTGACCACTCACCTCCAACTAGTGCCGAGCTCGATAAAATGTGCATCTATACATCCACTCCCACATACGACTTCATGATATAATGCTTAATTAGTTAAGCACAGGGACAACTTTACCTTTAAAATTATTTAGTCAGAAAATCTGTAGGTTAATTATATATATAAGCAATGATCGGAAGTCTCGGCCTTTCGACTACAAGCCGGGATGAAGGCAAGCGGTAACCTGGTTACATCTGTCACCACATAAAGAGGCAGGTAGATTAACACGTGACAATATTTCACAAGATTTCATTCTTACTACTTCTTTATGAAGGTGTTTTTGGAAGGGGGTTCTGTAAGTCACTTTCACTTTTTTATTTGTTCCATAAATCGTTATTGACAAACATGCCACAGGATGTAGAACATGTCAAAGATAATTGTAAAAGAAAAAAACAGTTCCTATACAGAGCTTTGTCAACAATAAAATAAGAATAGCCTAAACATATAATGGATTTATCACATTTCTGCACAGTATGCTAAAATCAAGATATAAATATAATAGTAACAAAAATATAGACATTATGAATATAAAATCAAAATAAAATTATAAAGTATATTATTGTATTATATTAAAATATACGGTTATTGCGATTTAAAATTAGTCAGATTTCCGTTTTTATAACGGACCTAAGAAATGAAACGTGTAACGTAAATGGAAAGCCTATATGGAACTGTGTGAGAACACGGAACGTTAATTATGCTGATGTTCTGTTGTGTTAAGCGTTCTACCTCAGTACCGTGTGTTTATTCTGATTCTATCTGACCTTCAGTAAAATTTCTTCATGCGATAGGAACACTCGCATCAAATCGTAATGAGTGTTTGGCATAGGAAGATAGAATGTGATTATTATCTCTCAACGCAATAATATCGGTGTGGTTTGATGTTTTGGTAACACTAGCTGGGTTCAGGCAGTAATATTGCTGCCGGTAAGACCTGGGATAGCGCAGTCGGTGTAGCAACTAGCTACTGGCTGCACTACAAGGTTTAGGAGTTCGAATCCCAGTAGGGTCCAGAAATTTATCTTCACGATCTTCCAGACCGGCTCTGGGATCCACTGTACTTCCTATCCAGTGCGTACTGGAGGTAAAGCGGCCGGGGCGTGAAGCTGACCACTCTCCTCCAGCTAGTGCCGAGGGCCAGAAAATGTGGATCTATACATCCACTCCCCCATACGTCTTCATGACGTAGTGCTTAATTAGTTAAGCACAGCGACAACTTTGCCTTACCTCTACTATTCCTGCAGGTGATCGTACTTTTGTTGACTTGTGAGGACGCCGAAGAGAGCCCCTTAATATCATTATATAGATCTCTGGCCATATTCGTTGTATCACTATAAGAACGGTATACCAGGAGACTTAAGTTTTTATATTTTTTAATTCACATAGAGGAGGGTAGGGTCCAATTAGGTTCACTCGGCACGGCGGCCACTGATTGGCCTATTGTACCTGCCCCGGGTGATTATGATGATGGAGAATTTGGTGGAATGAAGATTGGCAGGGGAAACCGAAGTGCTCGGAGAAAACCCACCCCAGCGCCACTTTGTCCACCACAAATCCCACTTGACCAGATTCGGGAACGAACCCGGGCCGCCGCGGTGGGAAGCCAGCGACTAACCGTTTGAGCTATGGCGCGGCCTTACCAGGAGACTAAGTAAAAACACGAAATAACAAAATGGACCGCTTCCTCCCCTAGCTGTCGCCACTTATACTTTTGTCTCACTATGGAATATCGCTTTGTTCATAACGAGCCCATGTTAACTGGGTCGCTTGTCACCACCTCAGAACTTGTTTTGTGGATGAGACGGCCTACAAAGAAAGAGTACAGCAGCGGTTATACTGAATAAAGAGTCCCAGAGAGCCACCAAAGAGGGTAGCCCTGCTTGATGGGCGAACAGCTAGAAACTGGTATCCTGAAGAATAAGCATGTCACGCAAGGCTTCTGACGTATATGTGCTGTAGTGTGGTGTGTATGTGTGCTACAGTAAAGGTTCGGCCACACAGAGCGCTACGTACGCGACGCAAGCTACGTACGCTATGTTAGCTATACGAACAGAAAAATATCTCCCTTTATTACCAATGTGACTGGCCACACAGACTTCCGCACGCTACGTACGCTATGTTCCCTATGTTACCTCCGTCGCAGAGTGTACACAGCGTACGTAGCGAACATAGCGTAGCGCTCTGTGTGGCCGAACCTTTAGAACAGAAATTCATTGCGACCAGTTGTTACTAGTAAAACCTAGAAATCCATAGTCACAGTAGAAGTAGTAAAGAACGAGAAGTTACTGACGTTGTTGGTGAAACCCACATCCAAGTTCCGAGGCAAGTATTTTCTCCATTCTTCAGTAAAGATAGCTCATACCATGTCTCCGTTACTGGTTACTATTAAAACGAAAAAATTCCCTATATTTATTCCGCTGTACATATTGCGCGATCTTTACAGAGTAGAAAAAAATAGCATTTGATATGGATGGCATGTCTGTCCGTCCGTCTGTGAACTTGTGTTAGCGCCTAAATCGTTGGGCAAATTTCTTATTCAGTTCAACACGACTTTCACTAAAATCCGTCCAGAAATTAAGATTTTCAGCCATCCTGCTTTGCATAACATAAACGCGATTTTTCATGTACATCACAAACCAGATTTTGATGAAATTCGGTATGAGATATGTGTGCGTAATTCTAGTTGGCCGTTTTGATCTTTAGCTACATTGAACGATCAGATTTTTATTGGTTATTTTACATCGCTCTCTCAGTACCACAGGCTATAACGTCGGATATTAGGATTATGGATCAATAATTAATTGAAGAATATTCGGAAAGAAATGATGATGACGTTGTTGAGGTATTATCTTGGAATTTGATTGGAGAGACTGAGAAAGACCACGAAGAACACCAGTCAGAAACGAACAGTTGTGATGTAGTTGTTGCAAATCTTCCTTTAGCTTCTGTGCAGAGAGTCCAGATTGAGTTCATGTCAGCATGGTGACCGGTTACGGACCCACGACCGGAGTTCGTGTTAGGGTACGAGTGTCCCACTTCTGAGACCCATCCGGGCTCCTACCCAGTACGAAAATGACGCTCATTTCCAGTGCGGCCGGAACGTGGTGATGACTGCTTATTTCTGCCTATTGTCGAGACCTGAATTGCGGTGGGGCCTTTCTCCCAGTGCATGTCCGCCTTTAGGGCTTAATTGTTGGGTGCTTATGC